TGGATGGTTTTGTTGAAGCTATGCAAAAAGCAGAAACCAAGGATGTCGACGTTAAAAGCTTCCTACCAGACAAGAAAGCTCGGGCTCAATGGGAAGCAACTACCAAGGCTCAACTTTCTCAGGCTTACTTAGATTACATCATCACAAACAATCGAGAGACCACCCCAGACAAGCAGCCAAACCTATTGCGAACTCCACCCGCTGTGGAACCCCTTCCAGTTGAAAAAGCACATGTGATGATGTTACCTTTGATGGACATATCTTCTGGTTCGGCCGAAGGCGTTGGACAGGTTCTTGATCATGTGGCTACTATCACCGGTCGACCTTTGAAAGATCATCCTGGCGATCTGCAAGTTGTTGAAGGAGACGTTGGGACTTGCATAAACTTGGAGAGTTGTAGATCCAAGCTTCAGCCAGCAGGTAGAAAGTACGAGAGTATGATCAATTATTTAACTATACCTGGTGCAGCGCACACGATGTGGAATGTAGGACACTGGTACATACTAGGTGGGTGGGGTCACGCTGAAGATGATAAAGACATGCCTTTTTCAAAGAGCTGGGAATCATTAGCAGGAAAGACTGAACGACCAGCTTCCAAGAAAGACTTTGGCCTGATCATGCGTATGATCAATCACACTCATTTCGCCACGATGGTGTGGTGCTTAAAGTCAGTTCACTATTTTCTCCCGCTTTGTCCTTGTTTGTATCTCATTGTTGACAGTGCCATCCTTTTGCAAACAGTGAGGTGATAAAGACACGGTCACCTACTCCAGATCTCTTGGACAATGCGACAGCTAAGTCAATCCTTGAAGAGACTCATGCAAAGTACTTCACCAAAAGCTCTCGCAAAGCTGCTAAAGGAGCTAGTGATATTCGTGGCTATAATTTACGTCTGCGCCTACGAGATCTTGCCTCATATGTTGAAGCTGATCAGGCCACAAAGGCTGGTGATATTGGCCGACTGATTTTGATGTGGAAGCGCTGGGCTGTGATGTCTCATGGCGCACCAGGCCTCTCTCACTATGCTCAGCATCTTCCCCGGCTCATTTTACTACTTGAGCATTATTTACCTCCTGGTCTTGCACATGTCATAAAACATTCTTTGATGATCTCGGCGCGAGGTGCAGCTCAAAGATTTGAGCCTAAAGATTTACATCTTGAGCGCAAGATCTGGTGGTTGAAATACTTCTTCAACAATGCGGTATGTACCTTTGATCTGATTAATGTTTCTCACATCAAAGGTTGCTGACTGGTCTTAATGTACATCCTGTAGGGCTCAGGAACCAAAATTCAAAGGCTTGCTGCCAGGTACTCACTCAATGTTAAACTAGTAAATTTTAATCTTTCTTCTAGAACTGAGAATGGTGTGAGTATGTATACTAATAAGGAACTATTTACAGTTCCAAAAATTGATGGCCCTTCTCAAGATCAAGGCGGGTTTGAATTGTATATATCAAACCAAGAAGATATATATCACTAAGAAGACAATGCAATCCTTCATTCGAATGGCCGACAGAACCTTCTCAACCTATAACCGCTCGCCACAACCTTCCCCGATACCTGATCTGTTTAAGACCGGTTTCCAAAAATTTCAAGAAATATTTTATGATGAGTACACCCACAACCGGCACTCGCGTTACAGATGGGGAAGCACCCAGACCGAAAACATCCCAAATACGGTCGACGAGTATGAACCTACAGATGTGTCCAATGATCCGCCCGGTCAGTCAATTTACTTCTTGCATATACATGCTAGAATTACTTACACATGCATTTGTTGTATTCCAGTTGGGGCCATGGAGCTCTGATTCATTAGCAATTAGTCCCGCTGGTCAAACGTGGATCAATTCTTGATTCGAATTGTGGTGGCGCAGGTGAGATAGTGGGTGCACAGGACATGTTGCCATCGGCCATCTCACAGTCATCATCAGCGTCATTTTGTGGTGGTGCAGGTGCATTCTTTGGACGTGAGGGTGGCGGTCCATCAAGTTCAGCAGCTGCAGAATCTCTTTTTAGTTTATCCGTCTTCTCCTTCTCCCATTTTTTGTTTGCAGCAGTAGTTCGTGCACTAGTGAGTTGAGCAATTACTTTTTGATGTTGTGCATAGAGATTAGAGTGTTCCCACTTCTTGATGCAATTTACAATGCAATCAAACATACCATCCATTGCCTCGCTTCCAAAAATTCCTCGTAGTGAAACCCCTTGAGATATTATGTCTGCATTTTTTGCAATTGGCCAAGCATGCTTTTCCTTATCGAATATGTCTTTGCAGTCCAATTCCATTTCATATTCATCACATTCCTTGGTGTATAAAGTATTAAAATCCAAAATTAATTGCGACACTAGATCCTTCATGATGATCATAGATCTGATTCGATCTTTTGGTGGACATGTCAACATTGTTTTAAGATTCGGTCCGTCGTCGAGAGCTGGATTTGGGCAGCAAGTGGCGTGACTGATGGTCTCATTGAAAGTGCTCGTTATTATATCACTCATGTTGTTGTTTGATGCATGGTGCTGCTCGTGGATGATTTCATGGCCATTTGTGGCTCACAATTTGAGCATAGACAAGGATGGAGATTGAGATCCTTCTGTCGAGCCACCTCTTCTATGTAATCCTGTCATCAAAGCTATAGTATATGCCAACACTTCAAATC